TGTGTCGGAATATAGAGGTTCCTTACCGAACAATACCAACTGATGCCTGATTGATGCCTTGCTGATATCATATGGCGAAAAGCAGCGTATTTACTCTGCTATTACTGCTTTTGAAACCGCACAATCGCTTAGTATACTCTATAAGGTATTTACGGTCGTATATAGGATCCTAGATAGCACACTTTTGCAAGAATCAGAGACCTCAACCATAGACGCTTGATACGTACTTTCAACCCTGACTAAGCCACATTTCCGACAAAGATATCTATCTGTGCTCGACGCCGATCCTGTTGCAGCTCTTCGAGCTGCGTCTTGTCTATGTATCTGTAGATAGCCTGGCCTGTAGCTTAACCCGTTCGTCAATTCCTAATATATCTGTACCTGACCCTGCACCCTGACATGGATAGAGCAATGACTATCAACTGACAACAATTGGGACAGGACAAAAATATAGACCTACATGCTTGTATCATGTATTGAACTTACTATCACTATTCCCAACAATCTGTAATGATAAGCAATGGGGTATATTATGGAGGAAAAAGGGGAAACAGTACCTGGGCCCTAATTCGTTGTCGATTGACCGCGATTGTCAAGCCCCAAACCGAATCCCTAACAATAACCAAGCAACCGCTGCATTTTTATTCAATGGGGGGTGCGGAGGGGACTATGTTGAGGTTGTTGCGGAGCTAGGGGAAGAACGGGTTAAGACTCTTGCCTGTAGCCCTAATTTTGAGAATGAGCATAGTTTCTTGTCTCATGGGGATTCACCAAATGCGTCTTTCTTCGTTGGATCAATGCACCATTTGACGAAGGACGTGATGCAAACGCGTGAGGATCTGGCGAGGCTTACGTCGGGCTTTGATATCATGATCGAGGATACGACGTTTCAGATGTACTCACCCCACCGTCCGAAGCAAATCGAATTCGCCAAGCAGAAGCTGAAAGATGGTGTGATATTCCTCTTCGTTTCGAAATACAAATGCCAGAATTTTGAAGAGTACAGACGGCACGAGGTGCAAAAGGATGTCAATTCCAAGCCGTTGTATTTCAGTCAGAGTGAGATCAAGTCCAAGTGTAAGGAGGTTCTCAACTTGATGAACAAAAATGAGGTTTTGATTGAGAACATGACGGCTACTATCAGGTTGCATTTCAGCAATTGCTACATTATTTGGAATAGTGGTAAATTTTACACTCTGGCTGCTAGCAACAACGCGGATGACCTTGAGCATTTTATGGCTGGGTTGGTTGAGCCGGCTGTGCCAAAGGAGTTTATGTATAAAAAATTGCCTCGACGGCTCGTTTGATTTTGAGGTTAAGTATTACTATCATGAGTTTGATGAATTGTCATATTAGCAAATTTGTATTGGCTTTGTTACATGATCGCAGTAATCTTAAGATCGCGATTGAACATAATATTCCTAGCTGTGTTTCAAGCCATCTGCCGTTTATCCTTGATAAAACCCCTTAACCATTCCATCAAGGACTTCCTTCACATAGCCCTCAAACGTAACATACTCAAAATCTGGGCACAGGTCCTTCATATTTAAACATCCCAGATACTCAGCATATTCCGACATATTATCATTCCGGATCCCTCAAGAGTAGCACAGTTGAGCAGCAATAAATGCGAGTCTTGCGCTGGTTTCTGTCGGGTTTTGATCAAGTCTTGCCCGCGTGCTGTCGATGTTGGCAATAGCTTCTTCTTCAGAAACCTATACAGAATATTAGCCCTTTGTCATTATGCAGAAAAAGGAGCTGAAGAAGAACTGACATATTTACGTGGCAACTTCTCTCACTAATCCCCTTTATTACATTATAAACACTATTCTGTGTATAAAGCTCACTATAAACATGCACCCTCTTATCCAACGTCCGCATATCCGCAATAATCCGGGCCATACCGTCCCACGTCCCTCAGGTCCACCAGCGCAGTGAGAAAATTTCCGTCGAGACCGATTGGTAGGTTCTTGTGCGCGGAGGAAGGAGATGGTCTATGCGGCCTGATGGTAGTCATGGGCGAGTAAGCTGGTACCACCAACCAGCGTCAATGTAGGTATATGGGAGGTGGATTTATTGACAGTAGTGTAGATTCTGCTCTCTCTGCTATGCACTAGCATTGACAGCTTTTGTGGGATCTGATAGGATGGATATAGCGGTCTTTTCCCGAAAACCAACAATACCCTTCGGTGGATAACGCTCATCAGCGCAGATTGGATAAATCGCGTGACACCTGCTGCTTTCGCGGCATTCGCGAGGAGTATCTCATCATCCGGACTGTCGAAGTAGATAGCCGAGATGACCACGTCGATACCAGAAAGCAGCTCGACGAGCTTATTGGATAGACCGTGGAGATCTGCTAGGACGACTTTCACTCCAAGTTCTTGGAGTTGGGTATTCACGGGTTTGTGGGCGTGTTAGGGCTGTTGCTTCCTGATATCTAATGTTAGAGGATGGATACGATTAGGGGCCAGGTAACTCACATATTTCGGCGTGGAGGACTCGAGTAGGGCATTCACGATGGACTGGCTGCTTTCGCCACTGACTCCCACGATCGCGGCTTCGATAGTGGGCATGATGACTTTATATTTGGAAGTAATATACAGAATCAATGCCTTTGATATAGCACTGGATGCCATGTAGAAGTAGGGCAGCTTTATAGGACTAGATAATATCTCGTTTACCTCCGAGCAATTGCTAATACCACCGTAGTTTCTAGCATGGCTTCTAATTCTACTTCGCACTCTCCATGCATATAATCCCAACCACCATCCATACAAATCCTAACTTAACATTGAAACAAACATGTCCAAAATAAGCGTCTTCCCCGCCTCTGGCACCCTTGGAACAAACACCATCAATCATCTCCTCAAGCTTGTCCCAGCTTCCCAACTAGTCCTCATCGCCGGGCACCCTGAGAAACTAGCCCACCTGTCCCACGCTAGCGCAACAATTCGATAGGTAGATTACGATGAACCGATAACCCTAGAACATGCCTTTGACGGCGTGAATACGCTAATGCTGATTTCGTATGCATCCGTTGAAGTTGAGTCTCGGTTTGAGGTTGGTCCTTTCTCACCCCTGTCCTCCCACTATAACACTGATGCAAAACCGCCATAACTGCAGCCCGCAACAGCTCCATCATCCACATCTTCTACTCCTCCCTCGCGTTCAGTGGCGACCTCCTACTCACCAGCGTCGCAAGCATAATGCGTGCGCATCTCCTAACCGAAAACTACCTCTCGCCACTCTCCGCCCAAGGACTGACCACATACTGCTATCCGCGAGGGACTGTATAGTGAGTTGTTCCCGGTTTATACAGCATGATTCAATGTCCATAATCCTGTGGGGGAGATTACGATTCCACATTGGGGGATGGATTGGGGATCGCGTAAGCGAAGATTGATGAGCTTGGTGAGGCGACTGCGAATATGATTGTTTCCCTACGTGCGGAGTTTGGGTGATTTTCTGTGGTTGAATAAGTTGGTGTTGTTATTGGGGCCTAAGGTATTGTCGTTGAGGAGACGGTCGATATTCTGGGGACGGTTACTGGAAGGGACGTGAGAACCAGAGATTTCGGCTGATGAGTATGCGGGATTGCCATTCAAGAAGTACTGGTATCATGGGGTACATCTGTTGAAAGATTATATATCGTGCTGGGGGAGATATTGGGGAGGGAATCGGAGGATTTCGAGACGACTGCAAGAGGGTTGTTGACCTTGATAACAGCGATATCGGTATCTTCTAAATGATCAACGGACGCGCACTCGATGTATCAGGGGCCCCCTATGATGCAATGGGGCTCCATCTCCACAAAACAGCCAAGAAACACAATTCTGGAGATTTGCTACGACTACAGATTAAATCTACAACGATAATTCATAGATCTCATGTCTTATCGACTGTCTATTAAAATTCCGGGGCTGGTAATACGCGGCGACCTATCTGGACTCTAGGTACAAGGTCCACCCGCATTCCTTAGCCCATGCTCTACAACACAAGAACCCCAAAACCCAAGCCAAACCGTAGTGAAAGTTGCAAGTCAATAATAATAGTAGTAATAAATGCCGTAGCACTTGATATCTAGATCTGAGTGCCAGGGAGGAGAACCAAGGAACAACCCCTTATTCGCCTCTCTATATTTTTTTTCTTTCCTATTTTTCATCTTTTCACTTTGGTGACCACCTCTTCCCCTTTTCCTTTTGCCCTGCTCTCGAACAAGAAAAGACGAAGGTAAGGAATAGTACCGGCAGCTAGGACGTAAACGCAAAATCAAGTGGAACTGCCGCAAAGAAGAAAAAAAAAAAAAGAGTGCTCAAGAACAAAACAGATGGGAATTCAAGCGACAAAAGGTCGAGGCCACCAAGGGATAAAAACAAGAGAAACGAACGCTATAGTTCCTCCGGGTCGCCGGAGAGGAAACCTATCCGCAGCCGGTGTGACTAGAACAGCGTTAGCGACAATTGAACGTGACACAATCCGAGGCCGAGGGCAACATACGAAAGGAAGTTTGGGAATAACGACACCCAGCGTGGCCAGGAAATTGATGGTGAAATATGTCAAGTCGTAGTGGGTATAATGAGTGCTGAGAAGAAAGAGAACGATGGGTACACAAAGGAGGAACTTCTTGGTTGGTGTATATTGATCTCCATTGTCGATTTGTTCCCACATGTTTAGATTATCGTATGCACCGGCGTTGAATTCGAACGGAATACCCCGCACCCAGTGAAACATGATAAAAGAGCCGAACATGTAGCTGATGTTGGTGAGAGTCCATGATGTTTCCTGCGAGACGCCGGGGATAATGTCATAGAAGATCTTGAGGGCCACGATCAGAACGAAATGGATAGTCCAGGCGCCTAACAATCGAAACCAGTGTCAGCATTATTCCCCCCAAAAAACAAATAACCATTTCCACCAAGTCCGTCACGTCCATCGATATTTCCCGACTAACCTTTGGCATTAACCCAGTTCGCATTAAGGTTGGGCAACGCAGCCTGATCACTGGTATGTTCTAGCGACTCCGCAGGCTCCTGGTAAATTATACTGCTCGACCGCCTCCTTCTCCCGGACTTTGTATGATCCATATTGTTGTTGGGGGTCAATCGTTGCGGCGACGCATCGTTAACCTCCGGAGGGAAGGAGATGGCACGGGCCCGGGGAACCAGTAACGAAGACACTTTGGCGGTTGATTCCCGTACGGGAGAGATCGGGAAGGATATGTAAAGGGATCGTAATCGAAAGGTAGAGAGGGAGATGTCGGAATATAAAGAGAGAGAGAGAAAAGCTGACAGGCGGTTCGGCTGCAGGCGTAGGCGTGGACGGGGGCGGCGAGGAGATGTTGAAGTTCCGACCGGAGGGAGATCTGCGGAATTGGGTCACGGGAGCAGAGATCGGTACGGATAGAACAGAGTGAAACGATGAGAAGAAAAATAGAGAAAAAGAGATATAAGACAGAGAGAGGGAGAGGGAGAGCTAGCGATTCTTCCACAAAAGATATGGGATCTGTCAGAGAGCGACACGGAATTGGCCCCCCCAAAGAAGCACGCAGTATCGGGATAGGACAGGTCTATGAGAGTGGTAAAACAGAGGCTCAGAGAAGAAGCAGAGAGAGCAGTAGAGGAGAAAAGAGAGAGTGAGAGAGAGCCCGGGGAAGAAGCAGAAATTGTAAATTGTACCAGTAGAGAGCAGGAAAGAACAAAAAGGAAGCCAGAGTGCTAATTATGGAAGAATCGCCGCCGGCACGTGGCCAATGGTCTAGACAGTGTAAACCCTGCTGCTGTATGTGACTAACAGTTAGACATATAACATTACTATATCTGTTACTTTGTAGTCATGATGTCTCTTTAAGCACTATTAACGCAGAGACTCACATAAAGTAGTGTTGTAGTCTGTTAAAAACAGCTTTCTGCATTGCGTATCTGGTCTGTTACGGTCACCGTAAATTTTCAACTCCTACTCCAGATTCCGTTCACTGAATCTCTCCACTTCACCACTCTTCTTCCTCACTTTCCCCACCAGACGCTACACTCCCCGTCTGATTGCAGCCATGCCCAGCTCGTCAGGGGAAGAGAATGACTCGCGAACCGCGTCTGTTGGCCTCCAACGTACCCGCGTTCAAAACCAAGACTCACACCCGAACAAGCGCCAGAGACGCACACGAGGAAACTCTGCGAATAGTGACGTCCGCGATTTCGTTCCCAAGGGTGGCTCATTTAGTGCGAAACCTCTAGAAGTCGATCAAGATGATACATCTAGCTCTGGCTCCGATTCCGACTCCGGCAGCAACTGGTCTGATGCGAGTCCGAACCCGTATGCGGGAACGACTTCGCAGGCTGTAAATTGGAACCAAGGCAATAAGCGCGCGATCAGGACTACCCTAGGTGGAAGAGGGAAGGTGAATAATAATAAGAAACCGGAGCCCCAGCCGCAGCCCCAACGAGGGCCAGAGAAGGAATCAGACGCCCAGTTCGATGCAGTAAATGGCGCGTACTGGCGCAGTCGGAGTGAATCTGTCTCTACTGGAAATGGTGATAATAGCAAGAGGGATGAAGGTCAAGACATGGAAGAAGGGGAGGTAAACGAAGACGCGCCTGTCTTGGACACATCAGGAGATTCGGATGATTCGGAGTCTCTGGACTCTGAGGCCGATGATTCGATCTTGTTAAACCTCGGTCAAAAGGAAAACGGACATGTAGGTACAGATGAAAATGATGATTATGACCCTGAGATGCAGCCGTTTGAGGGCGTCGTTATTTCGAATGGCACTCCTGGAAAACAAGGGGAACAAATTGGCACTGCGACGGACGCTTCCAAAGAGGACGCAATCCGAATTTTTACGCAGAGATATCCGTCTCCACCAGCTGTTATGACCGACCTAGTTCAAGAGGACAAAGACTTTCAGACCAGGTTTATGTATTGGACCGAGTCGAAGGATCCTCAAATCCCCATATCTTGCACAGAATGTATGCAGGAGGGACACATCGCGCAAGTGTGTCCATCCAAGGAGGTGTGTATTAGCGTTTATAGGCCCGTGATAAATCCACACTGACAAAATAGTGCACGCACTGCGGTGCCTGGGACAAACACGACAGCAACTTCTGCCCCACTTGGCGAAGATGCCAACGTTGTCGCGAGCGAGGCCACGATGATGCCCAGTGCTCTTCATTACTGAAAGGTTCTGCCTCTGAAGTCCCCTGTGATCTATGCGGTTCGCAAGACCACCTAGAACTCGACTGCGATTACATGTGGAAGCTTCCACTCCGTGGTCCATCGTCAGGACCAGTGCTCGTATCGATATCCTGCTCGCATTGCACGAGTAATAATCATCTCGCTGGTGACTGTCCGTCGCTACCGAGACCGTTGAAATCATCATCGTGGTCACTAAAAAGAATCGACCCGAATATGGTCACAAATATCAACTCCGTAATTCCTGGCCGGAGTCGACCCGGTCCTGGACCCGTGACTCGGGGTAGAGGGGGAATGAAGATTCGCGGCCGGGCAGAGCGTTCGCCAACGCCTGATAGTGACGAAGACGATGGCATGTTCACAAGACCACACCAGCGTCTTCCACCTCCAGGCCGCGGAGGAGGCCGCGGTAATATCCGCATTGGAAGCGGAATTGGACGCGGGAAGAACCTCGGCCCTGGGGGTTATCGGGATCGAAATGATTCCTTCGAGGACCGCTCTCGTCAACGATCGATGTCTCCTATTGGAAGACTTGGATCTGGACCTGGGAGAGGACGAGGAGCTCGTGATAACTGGAATGTGCGCTCTCGGTCACCGCCGCGGAGGGGGAGACCTCCACCTCCACCATTGCGTGGTGGACGTGGACGCGGAGGAGGCGGAGGGGGAGGTAAGCGAGGAGGAGGCGGAGGAGGAGGAGGAGGTGGTGGTGGTGGTGATGCTTATCGTCCTATGCCCAGTGCTGCTAAGAAAAATTGGGATAGATATCGGTTTTGATTTGGGTACTTGCTGTCTTGCCACATTTTGTTATATACCCCGCGTTCTGGCAGAGGAATTCGCGTACATACGACGATTTCGTTGTGTATCTACGACACAAATGAAATAATCTCCCAAAAAAAAGAACAAGGAATTCGCGATTTATCCCTCGCGGTCACTGGTAGCCGGCTTATCCCCATTCCGATGACCAACAAAGCCTTTCTCAAGAACATCGACCAAGTCGTCCAAACGGTTGATACTAAAATCCGTGTGCTCATGATCCTTCAGCCAACCATTTTTCTCATTCAATAGCAGGACGGTAGCTGCACCGGCCATGTGTCCTGCGGTCATATCGTCGATGCTATCACCAACCTGTTCTTGATTAGCTTACTATCTACAATACGCAGGTAGGCGTCGAATACCATGATTAAATGCTCAGCCCTAGCCCCAACCTTCCATTCCTGTGCGATATGCAAGATCCCCGCGGGATCCGGCTTGGGCAGTAAATCTGACGTTTCCCGCGTGATAATTGGCAAAAAGTCCTTCTCGTGTGCCGGAATGTGAGTCTGAATTAGGTGTAGCACTGGTGTTCTACCAACCGTTAGTCTACCTTCATAACCAAAGTAGTGAGGGCGGAAAGAGTGTACTCGAAATTCCTCGTACAAAGCGCCCTGCGCACCCCACGCGCCTGTAGATAATCCATCAACTGAACAAGGCCCGGCTGCGGCTGCTGCGAGCTCATGGCTTCATATTCGATGGCTTTGATTTTATCCGCGGCTGCGAGGCGGGCTTCGGGGGTGGGGAGGTCGCGGATGTGGTGGAGGATGTCGATTGATTTGTCGATTCCAAGGGCAGACCTTTTGTCCCATTAATCGTCGTTCGTTTTATCAGTTTGTAGCTTGAGTTGGACGTACCGCATCTCAGAGAACATGTAGTTCTGTGGTAAACTGTGTATATTAGCATCCGTCCCTGCTATACTTATATACAAGAGAAACACCATAAAGTTCCATCAACATCAAAAACAATCCCTTCTAACGCTGGTGCATCGGATTCACACTTCTGCCTCGGGTTGAGGGGAGCGAAGCGTCGTTGACGGAGGGGGTAGTTGGGGATTGGTATCGATGGAGAAGACATTATTTTCGTAGTTTTTGTTCTTAGAGAACTCGGTTTAGATTGTAAGATTGTTTGGAATAGGGGTGAACGTAAGAAGCGCATGGGTGTAGTCCGGATAGTGTTGGGTTGACGTTGGCTGTGGGGGAGAGGATCCATGGTGAGGTGAAGTGGGGATCTTAACTTAGCTATCGATGATCAACATAACATCTATACAACTATGTAAATGCACAACAAGGGCAGCGGACTAGATACAAAATACAGAAATGGAAGGAACATTGCAAGACTATGGCCTACCCGAGCATACTCTAGTCGCTCTTTCCCTCCTTTCATCCAAAAACAGCAACAACACATCAAACCCTCTTCCCACAGAATGGATACTTTTACATCCTCTCTTCATTATACCATTCTACCAACTTCATTTATTCTATCCCTCTACTCTATGTATACCTAGCATACACTACTATCTAGTACTTATATGCGAGGATGTCCCTCCCAACAACCACCCAAGACCTCCGTCACTTCCCAGAGACGCAGCAGCCCCGACCCACCACCGACCACTACCACAACTACTCCAATTCAATCACCCTAACCTTTACCCAGTTCTTCTCCCTCCTTGGAACCCTTCTCGCCCTCAAGTTCTATTATGGTCTGTATACTCTCTCGCACGGCAAGAGACCCACCCACCAGTCCATCAAGGAGCTCGAACACCGCATTGTGGCTCTTTTTCAGGCGATCGTTCCAGAGGGACTGTATCGGATGGATTCAAGAGGTCCGAACTTGACATCAGGATCGGGTGCGGCCTCGAGACGCTCGTTTCCTTGTGACAGTGATGGGAAAAAGAGTGGTAATAGGAACGAGGACGGGAACGGGAGTGGAAATGGCAAAGCGAGGTCGGTGGCGTCGGCGTCTACTCAGCGTACTCAGCCAGGTGATGGGATGATCGATTTGCACAATGCAACTACCCAAGAAGGATCTGCGCACAGTCCCCTCATGAGGGTTACGACGAATATTGCCCCCGCTATACGCATGTCGCAGGGTTTGTCGAAGATGTCGGGGGAACAGCTCGTTCGGACGGTCACAGCTGGAACGACTATCGCGGAGAACATCCCAGAGATGTCGTTGGACAATAGCAACGGTGACAACCGCCAGTCGTTTACTTCGTGCCAGGCGTACTGTGGATCCATGTCTTCTGCTGCCCCGCCTCCTGTGTCTATCTACACGGCTTATAGACCAGGCACGCCGTCGTCCACTCTCACTTATGCGCCGCCGCAGAATACCCCCGAGTCGGGTACGCCTATCACTACCAGCATTGACCGGCTCATTCTGCAGGCCAGGCCGCCGCGGTCCACTCTCATAGGTCGCTATCCGACGGAGGAGGAAGAAAGGTGGCCAGTTGTCAGCCAGAGGGAATTGACAAATGAATCTGAAGAAGAGTCTCCGACGAGGCTGACCAAGTGGCCAGGGGTCGAGCAAGAGCAGTCGCGATCGTCGGTACAAGAAGAAGAACCACCAAAGAACGAGTTTGTAAAGTGGCGCTTTGGCAAGGAAGAAGTGTCTCCTACGGATAAGGACGATATACACTCACCAATCTACGACGCAGAACGTGTGGAGACCGAATCAGATTCGGATGGGGATGAAAATGAGGATAAGGATCCGGAGGGTGGATTGAAGTTGATTCGTTCGGCTGAGAGCTATCCGGGCAAGTTTCCTGTTAGTGAAGGGTTGCCATTGACGGCGTTGGCGACGGCTCCTATTTGTGTGAGAGGAAAGGCGCAGACTTCTGTGAGGCCGCTGTCGGAGGTTTGATGGACTGCATTGTTGCTTGGTTGACGCTTTTTTCATGTTTTAATTTGTTTCTGGGTTGGCTTATAAGTTATCATTCGTTAGCGTTAGGTGCATTGGTATAAGGTGTCTCGTTGCCATCGCTTTAGCAATAGGTCAGCAGACTATAAGGGGTACTAATAGAGATATTGTACACGAAAAACTGCAATAAACGTCCAATACTATTCTGAATGCGTGTATGTACGATCGTTCTATACCCATCAGCAACCAAAGCCAACATGATACCAGATATTGAACAGACTCGAGATAAACAAAATGTATAATATATCCCAGAACTGACGCTCGTTTGCTTTTCAGAAGATCACTATGCACCGAACATCAACATATCATCAAATGGTACATGCATGTTTATAAGCAAATAATGTGCAGTAAACGAGTACACAAAAAAAAAAAAAAAAAAAAAAAAAAAAAATACAAGGCCTCTGTCCATCCCATCATACCTAGTTAAGTGACATCGAAAATAAGAAAGTAAGAATAAGAACGAAAAATGACATGACATGACATAGCCTGAAATGCTTCGTCAACATGCAATGCAATGCGATACAATGCAATGCATAACAGGGGATATAAAACGTTAAAACAAAATCGACGTCATAAATTTCGTAAAAATCATTAGGAAATTGGGGTATGGGTATGGGTATTCAGATAAGGGTATCAGAGTTCAGTCGTTTAACGTTTCCTTCAGTAGTCAAGGTCGTCGACTTGGTCTGGGCTAGCACCGCGGTACCGGCTGGTGCGACTGTATTGACTGCCGGAGTTGAGGGGGCGAGGGCCGGTGGGTTTGCGGGAGGGGACGGGGGATGAGCGCATTCCCGAGCTCTACAGTCATTATATTAGCATTAATTTTTAATTCGGTTGTAGGTGAGGGGAAGAACATACCCTCGAACCAACACGATCCGCATAAGACCGCTCATCATCCTCCTTAACCTTGGGAGGGCGTTCAGGAACCAACGGCCCGTCGTCTCTGACCTTGGGAGGCCGCGGTGGACCCATACGCCGCGAGGAAGCTTCCGAGTACCCAGTGTCCGAGATCGGGGACAAGCGGCTGTTGCCACTGTAGCCGCTGTATCGCTTCTGGACGTTACTTTGGTTGCCACCAGACAGGCTGGAACCAGAGCCCCATTGCTCGGATTGCGGATTGTGGAAGCCGTAGACCTGGGCTTGCGTCTCGAGTTGGGTTTGGTAGCGGCCTGTGGGACCCTGGCGGGGCTGAGGGTGCTGGAGATCCATGCTGTCGCGGTGAGCACGGTACTTGGGAGCTTCGGAGACCTGCGAGGGGATCAGCGGGGACGGAGGGCGGTCTTCTTGCTCCTGCGGCTGCTGTTGCTGCTCGAAGGTGATATTGGATCGGATCCGGTCGTCACCTTGGGGATCGTAGTAATCGTCCGTCTTGTAGGCTCCGTGAGGGGCAAGGCTCGTGTCCGACCGCTCTTTCTTGTTTGACTGAAGGGTGTTGCGGATAAATTTGGGGAGGAAACCGCCAGACTTGCGCTTTTGAGCTTTGTCGGTCGGCTTGGGAGGTGTGGGTTCTCCATTAAGAGCACCCGAGGCCATGGGAGGCTTGGAGCTCTCGTGAGACTGCAATTGAGGGCTCAGAAATTCGCCGCGTTCATCATATTCATTCTCCTCATCCTCCTCGGGGACCGTGCTGGGGCGACTAGGTTGATTGTGGATCGTGCGAGATCCTCCGGTCGAGGGCCGTCCAGGTTGGTCGATGGGCGAAGGACCAGCTTCGCCCTCAGTCTCATACCCATCCTGGTCGAAACTTCCCCGTCCACTGCGGCCAAAATGGTCATCCTGTTGGGATCGCAGAGCGTCAACATCGTCAAGGAGTTGCTCCAACATGTCCTCGATCCTAGTCAAGTCGTTTCCGGACTTGAGACTCAAGCCCTTTAAGGCGCGCTTGAACACGTTCTTGCGCTTGGAGCGCATGTCATCTTCTCCCTCTGCGACGGCGGCGAGTTGACGAGATCTGGCGCTGGGAGGTTGAGGGCGCGGCCCACTGAGCGCCCGGTACGTTCGCTCGTGTTGCTTGTCGTTGGCTTCCATAATCAGTCCGTCTTGGTAAGCGATGTATTTCTTCATGTCCTCGAACGAGGTGCGCATCTCTGCGGCGCTTCGAACCAAGGATACCAGGATTTCCGTGTCCCTGGCGTTGCGTTGGGCGTCGCGAACAGTAAGCTGAAAAAGGTTAACAAGTTGTCATCAACGGGTAAAATAGAAAGATACTCACATGGTCCATCAACGCAATGATATCCTTGGACTGAATCCGGTCAACGCCTTGCCCAGTGGCGCTATCGTACATGGGCGAGCCAGCTCCATGAGAGTAGCCACTCAGGTTTCTCTGATGCTCAGCACCACTTGGGCCGTCAAAAAGCCCCATGCTGTCCATACCACCGAAGCCCTTACCCTCGGACTTCGGAGTGCCAACGCTAGGTGAAAGCGGGTGCGCTCCGGACGCATAGCCTTCATCCTTAGCAGCCGGTGGCGTACCAGGTGCCTGATCATAGGATTGATCGAAGTAGCCCTCAGGGGCATATGCACCTTCGGGATAGTAGCCTGGATCATAGCTCAGTTCCTCATCCAAGCCAAGCCCTTTGCTCGCTTGGTCGTCTTGAAGATCCTCCTTGGACTGCGATCCCTCAACGTAGGGCCAATATTCCTGGTTTTGGGAAGGCGCTCTGGGTCCCTGGATGATTGAGGGGTTGGTGTCAATCTCGGATTCCGAGTCCTGGGCATCGCCTGCCTCTGGAATCTGAGCATCATCGCCGGGGTCAAAAGATCGGGAGTGGCCCAGCTCAGCCTGCTCGTCAATCGACTGAGCGATGCTCTGGGGCGGCGAAGTGACACCCATTCTTTTGCCGAAGGAGGTTGCATCGGGACTGCCAGCATCCTGGCGCTGCTTCAGGGGGCTTCCCTGACGAGAACCAGGAGTGTTTGTCTCCTGCGCCAGCTGTGCTGTGGGTTGTGGGCTACGTGGCTGTGGGCTGTGGGGCTGCGGGCTGCGTTGTTCCTGTCGCTTGCTGAGGTCGGACTTGGAGCGATTGGTCAACTCAGAAAAAACCTGAGTGTAGCGTTCCACAACGGAAGGTTCAAGCAGCGAGGCAACCGCAGACTCAACGGGAGCCGGATGAACGAACCGAGGATTGGCGCCATTGCCGTGGGAAACGTGCTGGCCTTGACGAACCTTATCCATGTAGTCGACTTCGCTGTCGTCGGTGTAGTTTGTCATGCGCCTGGGATCGAGGCTGCTGGTATCAGCAACTGAGTGTCGATGGGAGTAAAGATCGGATTGTTCGTCCCAGTCTTCCGCGCGCGGTTGCTGAGAGGAATCCTGTTCAGACTCATGTCGTTTGTTCAAGCTGAGACCCGAAGGTTTTGTTCTCGTCGATCTGGCGAGATCCGTACTGGGTGCGGACGAAAGCGAATCGATGGAAAGTCGAGGTTTCAATTCTTTCCCACCCGACGGCTGACCAGGCAATGGTCGTACTTGGGGCGGAGGCGGCGGAGGAGGCGGTCTCAAATCGCTCTGCTCGCTAGCGACGCTTTGAATGGGACTAAGGGCCCGCCGTCGGGCAGGATCAGTGTGAGTATCCAGCAGATTAGCTACGGCTGCGGCTGCAATATCATCCGCGGCGGCAGCAGCATCTTCGGAATCATTGCCATCATGTCCCCTAAAGGAGGCGCGGTCCTCCTCGTCAGATACACTTTCGACGGAGACGTTATGGGTCGATTTGTTGGGGTGGCGGTTATCCAATTCGTGTCGAGTGTCCAGCGGTGTTCGATTCGGAGTGCGGGAAAGAGGAGAAGGAGACTGGACGGGAGCTCCGCGAGAAACCTCCTGGAAACGAGTCTTTTGCGGGACAATTGACTCGGTCTCAGCGGTGCGATGAGAAACGAGCGAGTCTCTGGTCATATCCGACTCCAAGGCGCTGCGCAAAGGCATCGGAGGCACATTGTGTTTCTGGAACACCAACTCCGTCTCATTTCCGTTCCCAGCACGCTCCTTCGTGGCGCTGGGGCTGGGGCTCTGGTGGTTGCTTTCGTTTGTGTCCATGCTGGACTTGGAATCGTGACGTCGCAAAGCCGCCGCGGTCAGTGCTGTACCGACACGCCCAGCCTTTTCCGCATCGCGGAGTCCTTTGCTCTTGGCGCGTTGAAGCTTGTTGTTCTCGTTCATCTCCGGACGAAGACCCCACCTGACGTAGGTAGGATCCGCTTCAGTATCCTTGTTCTGGCTGCTGTCCTTGCTGGATTTGCGTTCCGGCTTCTTCGCGGGGGCCGGCTCGCCCCCAGGCAAAGCGGTGCCTTCATCTTTGCTGTCTTTGTTAAGGATAACCCTGGGCTTGATAATATCCGGAGCACTGGCATGCTTCGACAGTCGGCGGCCAAGCTCATCGCGCGACTGGACACTTGGTTTCGAAGCATTCAGGTCGCGTTCAAATTTAGATGTGTTGTGCATGACCTTCTGGTCCTTTTTGAGCTCTTTGAGTTCGGGCAAGATCAGCCGCCGGATGGCATCTTCTACGGTCTCTAAGAGCTTGGGGTTGTTATTGAATGAGGACTTGTTGGAATTTTGTGATAGGAAAGAGTATTGGTCGTTGGAACGGCGATTCGCCGATACTGCTGAGGCACTAAGCAGACTGGAATCGGCGGGATTGTAGACGGAGTCGTCATTATCCTGGCGTCTCTGTGCGCGCTGTCGTCGCCGGCGGGCGGCAGGAGTATCGGGGTCCAACAGACTCCGAGGGTTGCTGCTGTGGTCGTCGTCGCGCTCCTGTGGACCGGTGGTGAGTTTCTCTGCGACCCGGTGCGCGATTCGTTCGGTGCTGAGACTGCGGCTGCGTTTTCTCCGGGGGGTCTTGAGCAGATCCTTATTGCCAGCCTCTGGCTCCAAGCTCTGGCTCTGCTTGTGGTTTAGACTGGACGTTGGGCCCTCCAGCAAGCTGTCTGTCGGCATCGACGAGATATCAGACATGGCGGGCTGGACGTGACGGTTATCGCGCGAGAGGCTAGATAGTACACTTTCTTGATCAGGGTTATTCAAGAATTCCTCGGCTTGCTCACGATTCTCGAACTCAATTTCGAGTGGACGGGATTCGCGGTGGTTTTCGTCGTCGCTGAGACCTTGCTCTTCCAGGTCGTCCAATTCGAGGTGCTTCTGCGACTTGGGCAGCGACCCAAGAGAGATACGGCGGGCGTAGACGGGGCCCCGATTGCCGTTGGACTCGGTGATCTGGAGATGATGGTCTCGTTGATCCTTGAGCTTCTTGGAAGACGGCGTGACGCGGACGCGGACACTGGGTCTGGAGACGATGTTGCCAGTACCTTTCCCACCCTCGAAGTACTCAATGAGGAGGGAGGTCTGGGAGTTATGGGACGCACGGGACAGCTTGGAGGGATCGTCCCCACGGGGATCACGGTTTCTCCGGCGAGTGGGGATGATGACGGGGCTGCCGTCGTCGGGAACGGAATAGGACGTTTTGTCTGTCCGTCGAGAGAGGTCAGTGGCCATGTCAGTTCCAGTCATGCTGCCTCCGGATGTTTCGATGAGGGAATCCGAGGCGGCGGGCATGGTCGGTCTGCGATTGTCGACGCCCATGATTGCCGCCAGAGATGGTAAACGAATGAAAGGTGTGTGTAAAGAGGAGAGATAGGATGAGGATGAAAGGGAAGGCTTTATGTTTTTATTATTCCCGTTTCAGCCAAACAAAACCATAGTCTTTTTCTTGATTTGAGACCAGGTCTGTAAGGGATGATTGATGATTATATTATTTTTGATGGAATCCAAAACAGAGGCAAAGAGAGAGAGAGAGAGAGAGAGGCTGTCGCTCTGCTCTGGTCACTATCACTGGCGGGCGATCACAGCGATGGCGGGACGGATGCGATGTTGAAGTAGGAGTAGGGCATCGACAGAGATAGTAGACGTACCAGCAGAGCAGAGGGATTTCTCCCTTGTTGATTATAGACGATGAATGGAGAGAAGAGGGAAGAGGAGAAAAGAGGAAGAGAGGGAGAAAGGACTGTCGGCTGCTGGCAATGGAGAATAATCCCAGCGGTGAGGGACTCCACCGAGGAGAAAACAGAGCAAAAGATGGCTGGAATGTCAAGATTTGCAGAGAAGGTGAGATGGAAAGAAGAAAATGGATAGATTCTTGATGGAAAGTGAGAGGAAAAGTGCACCAGAGAGAAAAAAGCAAAACCCGAAAAACGAGAGGCTGGACACACACTGAACACTGACTGTTGTGATGGCCAGCTGTCGGCGGAGATGCACACAGCCAACCAACACCACAGATATCTATGGGAGTACCAGAGGTATTATTTTATTCTACTTATTTCCCCTTGACTGATTCCAGTCTTGTTGATTATATTTACTGTCTATATGTCTCTACAAGAACCATCCCTCTCTTTCTCCTTACGATGTCTCTCAGTGTTATATCGGTGGCTGGGCACGAGTCAAGAAGTTTATCTGATACCTTTCCCCATCGGGTAAGCTCCTTGCCGCTTACACCGATATCAACAACACTGAATCTGTACATACAAGTGTGGCTAAATGACTGTATCTCTAGACATTGCTATGCTACTAATACTTACAAGTACGCTTGCATTGCATGTGGACCTGTATGCATCAAAGCATATGCCAGACATTTACATGTCAGCCACTGCAGGAACCGTCCACTGACCCGAGGAACAGCCAAAGCCAAATGTGTCGACAAAATTGTATACTATAAGCTGAATAGACATGTGAGGCCAAAGCATCTAGAAATAGGCACTGTGTACAAAGTACTCTGTACACCGATCTGTAGCAATGTACTCCGTATGCATGTCAGATCTTGCATCTGGAAACTTCACCTGTCGCGATGATTGCCCCTTGCCATGAAATCTGCCATGGACACCAGGAGGATAATCACTGCAAGTCTCCAAAGCCATTAATAGAGTTCTGTAATGGGGTGGTTTACAATAGGTATCCAGAATATACGGCACTGATTTCAATTTTCTCATCATCACTCCCTGAATGAGCCTGACCAGTGTCACATTAGACCATCTCATCGCTTGGGACTGCGTGTACCCGCCGTGGCCTTAAGATCCATACGTACGTGGGTGGAATATTTCGCTTCATTCAGATAATTGTCGCCTGTCGTACTAGGACGGTACCACCTGGCTGACATGTGTATGGAGCCCCATACGGATAGCGTCCCAATTAAGCCGGTTCCATCACTGGAATCCGTATACATGAGTGTCTCTTAATAGCTCAATCGGTCTGACAGTAACCGGCAACCAGCGACCAAGCCTTCCCAATGAGCGATTATGTTTCGAGCCCCATTCCCGCATAGCGAGTAAATTATATCTCGACCATTCATCAAACATAGCTGCCCCAATGGCAACACCTGATTTATCAATGTGTTGTCCAAATTGGTATCTTGTCGCGGGAACCTAGTCTCTGCTCCCGAGGCTTTCAATGTGAGCCAAAAGATCTCTGTAAATAAACACGGCTACGTGTTTTTGATCCATTGTATGACCTACCGATGCTTTTGTTTATACTTTCATGATTCCAAACCAGAAACAACTGTCCAGTATCACCTCAAACCATCCAGTCGGTGGGTATTTCCAAGCATTCTCCAGGATTAACAGTCATGAGCAATCATTTTTGCACTAAGAGCTTTTCCTAGTCTGTACGCTTTATTCTACTAAAATATTCTTGGTAAGATTAGTGTATGGTAACAAGCAAGTGCTCTCTATGTAAGTCTTATTAACGAATGTGCCAACGGAGGGGGGTGATGGACGTACAGTCGAGTTCGTTGGCATCATAAATGGGCCGGTTTAATGACAATTGTCAAAGATCCCCCCTGTTATGGCAGACTCGGCCTCAATTCTTCCCTTTGAAGATCGATCGCGCTCACAGATTTGCGCAGGGTCTCAACATCCCCGTGATAAGACGTCATTTAGTTCAATAAACTCAAATCCCCCGTTAGCATTCCATTGTTCTCTAGCAGCTGTTTTGGACATAGAAAGAATGATAACCGAGAAAATCAGGTTGAACATACGCGAAGCGTGGCTAGCGGGTTTTGAATCAAGTTCCCAAGCGCGAGGGACCATCGGGTTTGTAATTCAAATCTGGGGCTGTCATTCAATCCGCGCCTCGGGCCATGCTGCTTGAGAAGGTCAGAATTTATCGATGATAACAGTGAAATATCGCCAGGTTATTCGTCGAGTTATCTGCCGCAGGCAAACTGCATTTCTTTTAAGGAATTAAGTGTGTACTTCGTAAGAAATATTTTGTGTTTATTCAACAAAGCTCATGAAGATGGGAATGAGGATATACTGAGGTGGAGCTAAAAGACTTGCCAAATTTCGGCATTGGATGAAGGAAAACCCAAAAGGGAGAGGGAGATTCGTTACACTGGAGGAGACAGGAAGAAGCAAAACATCCTGTCAGTGAAGTACTTGTAGGCAGGCAAATCGAGACAGGCATTCACTTGATCGTATGAGCTCAAGCAGCTCTTGCAGATATAGGATGTTTCGATGAACTCTACTACCGCTTGGGCGATTCAATTGGATTAGCAGCTAAAAATTGCATGTTCTATTCAAGAACGCGTTCCCCTGAAGGCTCCGGCATATGCCACTGATATCCAACCCGGAAGCCCGTTGGAAAAGGATCCGAGGGATCCAGGGACATATGCTTGAAGCCAGTAATCCACGCGCTTCCCTTGGCCGTAGGCAGGACCGTCTTGAGACCACCCACGGTAGTCGTTCCCCTAATATGACAGTCAAATGTTGATCCGATAATGCTCTGATGTACCAACTTCTCGCCAACCTGTAGTTGACCTCTCGCATGCAAGACAGCCAGTCTAGCACAGCTCCCAGTTCCGCAAGGGCACCGGTCGAACCGCCCTGGAGACACTACGACAGTGTTTACCGCTGTCTTGGTGCTATCCAAAGCTTGTCGTATAGGCTCGGTGAGTTCAACTGTGGTAACCCCTCTGATCTTATCATTTCCTGGGTGCACTGGTATATAGGTGTTTCCCGTAGCCTGCTTGATCTTCTCTCCAATCTCAATTAGTTTCGGTCCATTCGCATTCTTAATCTCCAGACCGACAGATCGTGCATCAACAATCGCATAATGCATCCCGCTCCACGCGATATCTACCGAAGTTACACCCATCCCAGGAACATCAACCGGTAGACCAAGCTTATACACAGAAGCAGGCACATCATTAAACGCCACAGCCTTACACTTTCCATCCTCACAGTCCGCCGTCACGCTAACAAGACTAGCCGGTGTATTAAGATTCAACTTGGTAACCGGCTCTGTTATCTTCACCGTCCCCGTATCAAGCAACATCGTCGCTGTGGAAATACTGCTTTCCCGGAAATGGGTGGATATTCATCACTTTCCATGATGAGGAATCCTGTATCTGCACGAAGATCGCACGGGGCAGGATAAGATTCATGCGCATGGCAGGTCGGCCGCGGGGCTCGTTCATGGGGAGTTTTCGGATGTCATCTGCTTCGTTTTGGAAGTATAGTGGCTTTTCGTACATTGTTTTGCAGCGTGGTGGGTTGAGGACGCCGCCAACTATCGCGTCGCCGACTTCCCCGGCGCAATGGACGCCCACAGTGGAAATGGTGCGTGTGAGCTTCATTGAGTATGCTTATAGAGTGCTTCGGGATGCAAATAATATAAGGGGTAAGGTGGTTTTATATCAACCCCTTAAATCGGCATTCTACTCCCCCCCATAGTTTTACCACGGAAGGCATGCCGGGCTACCCCAATCAGGTCTCTATCCAGGATCGATTTCCTGTGATAGATTTCCGGGTGTCGGACCTAGACCTCATAATTATTAAAATTATCCAGGAACATAACGAGAATCTTCCCCGCAATTTAGATGTGAGCGTTGAAGAGCCTCTGGGTGAAATTTATTATGAGATTGAGATAAGCAAGATGTGCTCAGCAAGATAACCGGAAATGCACCCGATCAGATCGGAAGAGCTCCCGATATCACTGACAGGAGTTAACCAAAGCATATGTGGATGAAGCTACAATCAATGGAATACACCCCCGCATTTCGGCGGCGGAGTGATCTTTGCTGCATCTCATGATAAAATCTCTATTGCATTCTTATAACCATGAATCTATCACCAGAGTCCCGTGTCAAGAAACGATCATCAAATGCGTATGTCCTTCGACTCAATTCAAATTGCGATTCCAGGAAATACTGACATAATTCAGCTGCCAACGATGCCGGAGACACAAGATCAAATGCTCCGGTTCCCAGCCCTGCGATACGTGCAGGAAGCGAAAGTTGAACTGCGTAATCGATGACCGTGCCCAAAAGGTATTGGTAACTCGAGGGTATGTCGATGCGCCCTTCTAACTGGCCAATGCTAATATCTCAGTTATATTGAGGACCTGCAGAGGAAGGTAGCCTTGTTGGAACGAAGTCAAGAGTTGCCCAGTCCGCAAACTTTCTCGGACGATCTAGATAGACCAGCTTCTCGTACTTCTACCAAGCCACTTTTCCATCTATTGAGATCGCTAATTGTTAAAGGTGATACTACAGGGCCTTTTGAGGGTACCGAGTGGGAGCAGGCTGAGAATGACTCCGAAATGACCAATCCACTCTCGACGGGTCCATCGACGTTCATGTCGACGGGATTTGGTCGGATATGTAGGTTTTACCATATCATCATTTGTTATTCTTACAGGGCTGACACCAGCAGTCTACCTGGGCACCTCATCCAACTGGTCGTTCGCTCGAAAAGTTCTGGGCATGATTCACGAGCATCTCTACGACTCCCCTCTCCCAACTGACAGGCGTCACTTCGACGAGACTGCCTATGAGCTGGGCTGGGATGGCTTGCGGACATCTATATCATCTGAGGTCCCAATGATCCCCACCCTCGACTTCTCCATCTATCTCCTCAACGCGGTAAAGTTTCATGTTGGCCAACTATTTCATGTCTTCGACGAACCGTCCTTTATGGAAGGTTTCTACGCCTACCACGAGAATCCTGTGCATCAGACCACCGTCGATCCCCTGTGGTATATCCAGTACCTATTGCTACTGGCGTTTGGCAAGGCCTTCTCCGTACAACGAGGCCCGAATCGTTGGCCTGCTGGATGCGAACTTTTCGTCAAAGCGCTACAGCTCCTACCTGATTTGACCCATCTTTACCAATATCCAATGATAGCAACTGAGATTCTGTGCTGCGTAGCACTGTATCTTCAGTCGCTGGATTTCCGTTCGTCGGCCTATGGCTTTGTAAGTACACTTTCGTTCAACGAGTCGTCAAGTAGCTTATACATGAGTACATAGATCGGCCAAGCCGTACGACTTTCTCTTGCTTCCGGTATGCACACAAACATGCCAATTGACCATCTAGGCGGAGAAGCCCTCCAGCGCCGACGCAGAATTTGGTGGACAGTTTACATCCTCGACCGCCAAATGACCTCATTGATGGGCCTTCCGCAGTCCATTGAGGATAACCAGATCTATCATGAACTCCCGCTCTTTCCCGAATCACCGCATAAAGTCACTGCGCTGAGTATGCAGATTAAAATGTGCCAGATCATTGCGGATGTTAACCGGAGTATGCACCCTTTTCAAGCCATACTCTGCGCCATCGTAGCTAACGCAACCGCCAGCTGTGTATGGGGTCGATGGTCGTCTCAATCGAAAGTTCCTCTCGAGTACCAAAACTGCTCTGGGGAATACCGCCAATCTCGATACAAGATTACAAGAGTCCCATCGTCTCGAGATAGACGAGTCTAGTCCGAACGGGGTGTCTCGTCTGTCAGCTCATCTCCACCTCTTATACCATCAGGTACATTTCTCTAGTAATATTGCTATTTTCGTAACGCATCTGACCAGCATCCGAAGTGCATAGTACTAGCAACACGGCCGCTATTGTTCTGCTTTTTGAAAATGCGACTTCAGAGCTTCGATCCAAACGCAAAACCTTTCACCTCCTCAGCTATCGTTTGCAAGCTACTTCAGGTGTGCGTCGAGTCTGCCAAGCAAATGCTGAGCATCCTCGTCATTCTGCAGAAGCAAAGTTTGCTAGGTAAGCCATCCATCTCTCTCATTGATAACGCATCAAGCTCACATGTATGCACAGACAGTTTCCTTCCCTTCGACCTCGAATCCACATTCGTATCCGCCCTGGTCCTCTTACTCGCACCCTTCGTCGACCCATACCTCCTAGACGACTCACAACCATGGCTCCACAAGGCATACGATATTCTAGACGAGATGATATATCGGGGTAACCAAATCGCCGCTTTTCGCAGATCAGATCTTGAGCAACTGCATGATCTACTCAGAGAGTCATCGGGGCTATGTGACCGTCGTGAGGAGATGATCTCGCACATGTCGTTGCTTTATAGTGAGGAGAGTCATATTGGAGATGCCAATGACTTGACGACGGCTGATATTATGGCTGTTGCAGAGTCAATAGGGTCTATGGATGTGGATTGGATGGCACATGCTGTTACGGAGAATTGTATTTGGTAAGTTGTGCGGTGATGGTAGTGTTGTTGCAACGCAAGTGAGATGCTTTGAACTTAAAGCCATAGGGCTGCGTCTCCATTAGGAGGTCCGGGTAGAGATCATCCTCAGCTAGACTAATTCAGGAGAGACTTCTGCTTCTTCTTATATAGCCCTAAGATAGCACCACCAACTGCAAAGTCCGTAAGACTCACACCAACACTCATATAAACAACAAAGCCCTCCGAGACGAACTGGTTTGCCCTGATCAAATGTTCATACTTTTTCCCTCCCGTCCTCGACGCAATAATCTCACCAAACTCAACAATATCCCTCGTCACAATCCCGCTCTGAACTAACTCACTACAACTCTCGAGCCCAAAGCTCCGGCCATCGATGAGAATTACACCCTTCGACTCCCCAGTATTAGGACTGTATCCGCCACTGGCTGCGATGGTATCATGTAATAGTGAGAGATTTAATTCGATCACGTCAGGTTGCCAGGACCCTATTGCTAAGATGAATGGCCGTCTCCCCCCCTTCATCATCTCCGCCTTCGTTAAGCAGCTAGCCGGGAAAAGAGGTTTCTTGGACAGTGTAGTGCAGAAAATACAGTCCGTGCCGTTTAAATAACCCTCAATATCCCGCTGAGCGTTCAAAGCAGCAAAGTTGACATAGTGAAAAAAGCATCCAGACCTCCAACGACCCCGATTCTCCTTGGAAACCGTGGCTATCAGCCCACCAACCCGCTCCTCAGACGGACTAACCTCACGTCGCAGCATCAATATAAACCGTGTATGCCGTAGCGTCTGCATCCCAGTACCGAAAATCACAATAGTGCCCACATATTCCCTCCAGGAGAACAGAACCGTAGCATTTATTTATGCTCGACAGCTTGTTATTTCTTCAGGACTAAGGAGTTCAGCTGGGTTACCCTTGCCGCCAGTCAGTACTATAATACGGAGTAACTCGGGGTGACGCCGGAAAGGCCACAAAAAGTCGTGGCCTTTTTAAGGTACATTTTCGTGGCATTTCCGTCCTGGCGTCGCCGCTTTAAAGCGGCCACAGATAATCTTCCTAAATAAAGCACAAATGCACTCACTGAGTCACCAGCAACAATTACATCTAATTTATCTATAGTTTCATATTGGGAAAGCGCTTCTACCATGGCTTTGAATACCAGACAAATAGCTATTTAAACACCCAAAAGACTGGTTTCAATGTATATTCCATTCTTTCTTTCACTGTGACAGCTCATATATGGTGGCTGAACACTACAGCAATGGATGATACATCGCAAACACTACCCAGTCATGTCGCCAACAATCCTCTCAGAACCTCTTCATTATCTAGGTAGATTTTCTCTTCTTCTTTCTTCTCTAAGTTTGATATTTTCGTCGATGGTTACAATAGTTTAGATAGGATTCAGTTCATTATTATCTACTATTCCGAGCCCGTGACACGTGCAGTCTCACATGTTTACAGTTGCAAAGGCTTTACTGTATACAGTACATGTCAACCAATATAGCCGTGGGTAAGGTATCGGTAAGCGAGTCGGCCACCTCCGACCTATGTCGAGAATCAGACCTACTTTAAACCCCCAAAAATGCATTTATATATATAAACCAATTACTGCTGCGATCAGGACAATGAGTTCTTTTACGTCCCAAAACATTGCAATCAGAACACCATGGTGGCACCCGCACATGTGGTTGAGATGTGGATGGTGCAGTCTCCATCTGTTGTGACAGTCTCGAACAATATAAATTTATTGGTAGACTCTCTATCGAAATACTAACATGGAGAAGGAAAGAAGGAAGCTGGGCCTGCCAGCGCTGCGCTATCTAGTGTGCGAAGGGGGTTCCTGCCCTATATTCAAACAGGCCAAAGTATACAAACATCTTGCGTTGTTGGTGAATGCCTGTACTCCGTGACAGGAGAGCCCATCCAGTAGAGTTGATCCACTCAATAGATGCCACCCATTCCCGATTCACTGGCTGTACAAGAAAGGGCTGGCCAGTCATTTCAGCTCTAGAAACTACCTCAGCAGTAGCTATTAGGCCCATTGCATATCCTGCCTCATCAAAATTGTAGATATCTTCAAGCGCAACCCCATGTTGCATGATTGTAATTTGCACCCGATCAAACCACTCCTTGATGATATTAGGGTCTCCACATTGAGCACGCTGATGATAATAGCGTCGGAATAACCGGGATTCAAGTATGTCATAACGTTTGATAAAGTCATAGACCCATTTACCTCAACAGTTATTGTAGTTGTATGACCCCGCTTGGAGAGTAGAATATCAGTCATTTCTTGAATATGAGCTGGCCGGGGAGCTGCCCCACATAAATCAAGTGATAGTATCCATTATACAAGCGATTCCTCTTTATTTCGAGTTATTTTATGACTATTTGCGCGTGTCTCGTCCCGATATGTCTTTCCGCATAGCCGGTCTTGGAGAGTAGAGCGCCGCACATTATAAACACGGACTGCTTCGCGAACATTGGATATTCTGTTTTTTTTTTTTTTTTTTTTAAAGCAGATATTGCAAGGAGAATCCTCCCCTCCTGCTCAACTGAATTTTTTGATTTGATATGCGATTTTGGTGGCATGGTAGTGGTTTGAAGTGCTTCAATCATATTACGAATCGTGAAATCGGAGATGTGGCCGACTCGCTTACCGACTACATTAGTTAAAATTACCATGGTTATTCGGCCATCGTCGTTGCATGGGAATTGCTAAGGATACCCCCGGTCTCGTTAGGGGGACCCCCAATTGTATAATATCAGTGATTATCTAAACCCTTTGAGCGTGCCTGGAGGTGTTCCTTCCCTGAACACCACGCACCCACTCATTCAGGCAATCTGGCAGGTTCCTCAATAGTGAATGTGAAAAAGCATGACGAAGACAGACCAAAATAAGTAAACACTACATTAATTCCCGATGAGAAACCGCCATAAAGGGCAGTAGGATATCGTAGAGCATACCATATAACTATATCATATAGTAAAGTACAAGATGATAGAGAACTGAGACTGGGATGAAAATATATATACCATAGTAATCAATATAGTACAAAGAATCGAAAGAGAACTGGAACTGGCGTGAAGATATATGTAAAGATGATCGTTTGTATACACAAAGAAGAATATAATGCTGTGCAGCTAGAGGTGTGGTTGCCTCGTCACTGCCATGGAGACTTCATATCTAATCTCTGAGGCATCAACATTCCGCGAACACGCTGTGATTGGTCCTCCCACTAGTTACAATAAGGACTGGAGTAGGTACTAGCGGTGTTGCTGTATAGAAAACAATGATTGGAGATTTCCTGAACTATTGAATGGTCGAAATTGGTTCCATGTACCTTCTATGATACCCCCCCCCCCCCCCCCCCCCCCCCATATTCTATCTATTCTTCTGAGGTATATATTATGGCTAAGTCAACAACAAAAATCAGCACCCACGAAAAACACGTAATTTTCACGCGTTAATCAACCGATAGGGGCCCTCTGGCACCTATAAACCACCATGGAGGCACAGAGACCCCGTGGTGGTGGTATATCGCACGCGTTGCCCCCCGGAGTGGGCAACGTGGCCTCCCAGCTCACGGGAACGCCAGACATGCCAGGCACCCCAACACCAACCCACCGGCGATCCAGGAATGCGATACAGCCCATGCTCAGTGATAGCAGTGTGGAGGTTATGAGCATAGATGAAAATGAAGACCAGGAACGCTGGCAACCTGGGGGTTCCAGCAGGACCCCCAGCCGGGCCAGCGAGGCTAGAAGTGGAATCAGACAACGAAGGGTTCTACAAAAGTCATTTATTGGTAGGCCAAAGCATCAGGCTTCCCTACTAGACGCAAGCAAGCACGCCCAGGTGTTAGTGGGGGCCCTAGAAGCAGCCCAAACACAGCAACAGGAAGTGTACCAGGTGGTCCTAGAACAAGTGCAAGCACACATGGCAGAGGAGCTATCCAACTGGAAAGCAGAACAACAACTCCATGAAGGAATCTATCTTGAGCGAATCACGAATCTGGAACTGGAAGTCAGCAAGCTTCGTACAGAGCTCATGGAGGCTCAACACTCAATTCAGCGAATTGGACCAGTGAAGCAAGATACGCCAACAACCAATGCCCAATTGAGTCAAATGAACCAGCATGAGTACAACATCATCTCCAAGACAA